AATTAGTGGCAAACACGATCCTATAGCTAAACCTCGTGTTTGCTCCTACAGTTTAACATTACAGATAAAAAATTTACAATGCATCGCTAGGCTGGTTAGTATCATTATTTACCCTTTACTTAACGTAGTGCGAATTACAATTTTCACCTATTGGTCTAATGTGGATTTTAGTGCGTGTACATCATTAGATAGGATTAGAGAGAGGGGGGAACGAAAAGTATAAATAAGCAAGAAGAGGAGACTTAGGCTCGAATCTGGTTTTGACTCACATCACATTTATTTTAGGAGCAATGCATCCGCACAACACGCGCGCAATAGAACGCAACCACATGCGGTAACATTGCAGGATCAAAGGCATAAGTGTGTATAGGGGAGGATGTAGCTTTTCGGTCACAATTTCACTCGTTTCACTCTTCCTCTGCAGCCACTTCCCATGTCATCCATAGCCAAACTTTTGATCAAACATTTGGGCAAAGCACAGGATATCGAACTAAAACATGAGATGCCTAAGTAGACCAAATCGGACTATAAGAAGTAGGTAGGTGTGAGGCCGGCCACCTTTCTTGCCTTCGTGTTCTTGTGAATTATTCCTAAGCATGCTGCTATGCTCTGACGATGTCCGTCACATGACGTACGAAAGCTCAACAAGGATTCATCGGGGTCGCAGAGCGGTGTGCCGAGGACCTATTCACAAAAATCTACAATCACAGCTCTACGACAATCCTCCACAGCTTCCGGTGGAACCAACTTACGAACCCCTTCCACTCGCTTCTTCGAACGAAATGACAGGTACACCACCTTAAATTTTTTAAGGGATTCTTCGAAGCCTAGTTTTAATAATTAGGAAACTGTTTCTTTCGAGGTTCGTGTACATAGTTGACTTAAGGCTCTAATAATGGTTTGCGTTTTCATGCTTTAATCAACTTGCTTTTTTAGATGCCATAATTTAGAAGGCAAGATAAAATATAAGCTAGTTATTGGACGTGACAGTATTTTTTATTTGACTTAGCGTTAACGTCAATCTAAACCCAATCAATCTTATTTCTGACTATTTTACCTCACTCAGCTTCTTCAATGGCTTGATAGATTCGCTCCATTACTTTTCCCTGTTGAGCCTTATGCAAATATCAACAAGCACTCGTGCCCCTTTCTGTCTCAGCAAAAGCCGGAGATTCAGACCGAGCCTATAGTTTCACCCAACTGCCAGCCCCTGGAAACCACGACCAACCAAAGACAACTTGATTGGCAGCGAGTTCTCACCAGGATGATTTTCTTTCCTAGGCTCCTTGACAGTCTAATCGTGTTCGGTTGTCTGCTTCAGCCTCCTCTAAACCTTGCAACGAAGTGGGCTAAGTTCGGCAGGCCTGAAACAATCTGGAAGAGAGTGTCAGTTCATCCAGATGATTCGAGGGCCGAAAAGCCAACATTATTATCGGAATATCTAGAGGTTTATTTTAATTGACATCAATTTTTACATATATGGGCCAGAATTGGTGCCATTTGTTATTATCTGTGATGAAATTTTTTTTATATTTAACAGCTTTGTTGTTTCAACTTATTCAGTCGATAGCGGGATTTTGGTTTCAATAATTGAGTAAATTTTTCTAGGATGAGATTACATCGTGATGGTCTTGAATTTCGGATACAGGTAATTGGTGTATCGGTGACTTGGAGGGCTTGATTTTACTGGCTAACAACTGCATTTTAGTGACAGCGCATATCTTTTGCTAATTATTCATCCCGGAGTTGCATTGCCTGACTGAATTTCGAACAATCTCTTTCTTTATATGTGTATATATACGCAGTCTATTTTTACAGCTATTTATTCACTAAATCCGATTACGTCTAGCTTTTTAATATTTTATCTGATAAAGTACTCAAACGGTGGCACGAATCCGAACTTATGCACGAGTGCAAATTCCTCAAGTCCAGACAATAGACAAATATACGACTCATCTGCAGTTTCCTGTGACTTACGTTTACTTTCTGATACCTCTACCGATTCATCGCAGCTTAGCCAGAATGATGTGTTGAAAGCTTGCGCATTAGGCGAAATAGATTCTTTCGATGGACGTCCACAAACTGAGCAATCTCAACATCCAATGATGCGTACCAATGTGGCAATCGCCACAGATCGTTGGCGGGCTCACGTAAGTGGCTTCCGTATAGGAGTATGTAAATTGATGTTCTATGATAGTGACAAAATAACGAATTTTATCTGCAATTCTTACAGATCGCTTCAGATCCTGCAAAGTTTGCCAGCCTCACTAACACAGCTCATCTGATACAACTCCTAAACTTGATCATATACGACCGCAAAATGGATCCGAAGACAAAGCTCCGCCGATTAAATGAAGTGAGCGATTTGTTTTAACTTAATAGAATAAACGTTAAAGCATAAAATAAATGCCAAAAAGCCGGTATCCGAACTGGCCTATGATTCTATTGAGCCCACTTCTTTTTCGAGTGAAAATGAATGATGAAAATATTCGAAGGCGTGTCTCAATAGAGGACGATGGAAACTCTATTGGCCAGATGGCTGGCTTTACCGGAACATTCTAATTTATTGTGTCCAAGGCATTCTCCTTTGATTCATTTCGAAGTCAACTTTTGTCTGCCCCATCATAGAACCGTAGCATAGTGTCAATTCTACAACCAATTCAAGCCAATGAATAAGCTCATCAACTAATCCCTACATGCACTATTATGGCGTGTTTTGGTTCAAGTATTTTATGTTTAAGTGTACGAAGGCATGTTAATGTGAACTTATGTGCATTCGTGTATGTGTAAATACGAAGCCAGCAGTGATAACTCAGTTAAAACAGAGCATAATCTCTCGGTAATAAAGGTTGGCTGACCCTTTTTTTACCATTACGCCAATTAATGTCGGACACGCCTAGTTGGATAAGAGTAAGTTGATAGACTGGCAGTTGAATTTTTC